CCTTTTTAGAAAGTGAACCATGGATGGGGAAATGTTGGCAGTTTTCTCAAAAAAGGCTTGAATTCAAGAAGTTTTAGATTCGCGTGGTTTTTTTTTGAGTTGCATAATCCACTTGAACATGACGCTGCTTTTTTCGAAGTTTCTCAATAACCATTCGAGCCACAGAATTCGTTCTGGCATCGTAGGATAGAGAATTGAAAACTCGATTCAGTCATAATTTAAATTATTTGTTCGACTATGAAATAATTCGCGCGGAAGTCGGAAATTATATAATATTGAATAAAATCAGACTCAGTAGATGACACAGTAAAGGCACTAAGTGAAAACACTAACAAAAAATTATCTAAAATATACTTTATTAGTTTGCCTTAACGCTAGTTTCTTACCTACAATAAAAATAATACCTGCTTTTGTTCCTAATTTGGTTTGGTATACTACACAAATACGTATATGTAAACTATCACAGAACGACAGTACCTTGCACAACTCACAAACATGCATTAACACATAACAGCCTATAAAAATATTACTTAATTGACAACTTTTAGTTTGTAGTAGAAAAATGTACCTAATTATTAAACAGAGTTTTCTTTAATTCGTACCCTGAGTACAAAGAAAATGTATACCACTTAGATCGTACAGAAATAACGACTGGAAACAAACGTTCATATAAAGGTGTTGCGGTTGTTGCCAAAGTATTTGTTTCTGTTTCTTTGAAGTATACAGAGTAGCTCAAAATATAGTTACGTACGTAGTAAAGTTTTATTTTAAAAAAATGTCTGGCTCCTTTGCTATTGATGGTCAAAGTTCTTGAAAAGATCATATTTTTGCAAAACGCTTAGAATTTGTTCCTATGACTCATGATTTGATGGAGCAACCGAGTTCAGCCGCTTTGGGCGTGTTTTAGTGTCTTGAAAAACCACCAGAATTTTTTTTTGGAAACTGAAATCAACTGATTTTCTCGAGTTGATTACTAATCCATTTTTCTTTTTTTTTTTCTTTTTGGTAAAATCTTGAAGAATTCATAGTTATTGCACACAAATTCTGTTTGCTTGCTATTTAACAATTTCCGGCAGTCAGACCTAAATTATGAATGATTTATAATCAAATCGACTGTAACAAAAACGATACATACAACCGACCACACTAGCACAAAAACAAACCATCCGAAATGCCGAAACGGACTACTATATTTGTGCGCCGATATCCCGAAATATTTAACGGTTTGCCTTCGAGCGCTCCAAACCAAAAACGCCGGAATTACATATTGCACAATTACCCCAATGTATGAGCCGGTTATTTCAACCAATCCTTTTAAGTCGTGAGTAATGAGAGCGGTAATGATTGGTGGAAATATGGCTAAGCTGGGGAACAACAGTCTTTTCATAAAAAAACCGTGTCTTTCTATACCATACGGTTCAAAAAATAAATGCTTCAGATTGCCCTGCATTGTAATGGCTATAATCGGGAAACTGGTCGCCATCGGAAACAAAGGAAAAACTGCCAAGAACATTCCAATCAGTTTCATAAGGAAACCTGAATCATGTGTTGGCATAAAATTTAAAGAATATAATACATCAATTGTTTCAAAGGCAAACGAACCGGTGAGAGAAATCAATAGATAGAAACCGCATATCACTGAAAAATCCATACTGATTTTGCTCATTAGACCTTGTTTATTGGAAATGGGCGCGATGAGACCCGGTAGTGAATGATGACACATAAAACTATAAATGCTAGAACCTGCAAGGGCAGGTACTTCCGCTATATTAACCAAACTAGGACGCCCTTGCTGACCGTATGTTGCTAATCTGAAAACAGCTAAGCTAAGCATAATGGAAAAAGCAATCCACCTGACACTGATGGTAAATATTTGTAAATATTTTGTTTTCTGCACATTGAAGTAAGTAAACGGCCCTACAAACAGGCCAAAGAGAGCTACATAAATCCTATACATATCCATCCTGGTTACTCCTGAATCTTCCCAACATGATTCAGTAAAATTCTCCGTATTATTGGAAGACTTACAACTTAAATTCACGATGGTTTTACCTGACGCCGCCACGTATATTGTAAGATCGCAGAAAAGGTAAATGCACAAAGACGCAAAAAACAACACATGCCCAGTCCTGGACAGGAAGAGAGCAGCTATTTCACCTAATTCAACTTTTTTATTTAGATGATAGTAATGCCTACGTCGATTCGCCAATATTGCAGTCTCCTCATTGCTGTTTTCCGATTCAGAATCCGGATTAAGAGGCACTTCACTTTCCTATAAACAATAATTTGTTTTATAGGCCTGCAGAAATAAAAACCCTTTTACACACCATGAATGCCGTAAAATCAGTTCGAAAAAGATTTCAAGAGTGTGATGAAAACAACGGACGGGTTTTTCACCATTTGCGATGAATCTGAATTTTACCTCGTTTCAAAGTTTCTCTTGTTTTTCAATTTAGTTTCTTGTATTCTTCGTCTGTTAAATTGTCTAATGTAATTTCAGCTAGACTATCAACAAAGTTTAATTTCTAGAATACATATTATAGCTTTTGTTGCATGGGCGACTGTGGTTCAATGTAAAAAAGTTTAATAAATCGTGCTATAGGTATTATTGAGAAGATAATTCAAAATGCTACCTTAGATAAAAAAATACAGGGTGTCCTGTAAAAAAGAGGGCCAAAATGGGACACACTGTACAAAACAATATAGATTCGGCCAGGGGCGGATCCAGCTTTAAATTTAGGGGGGTATTATGTAGAAAAAATACAGTCTTCTGTTGTCTATGAAATTAGAAAAATTATCGTCGTTTTGTGCAGGGGTGGCGTAAGATTATTACAACATTTCATGTTTTCCGTCCCGTTTTGCATGTTTCTCGGAAACAAAATGAGCAAGAACGCTCATTTGTACATCATTCTAGAGATAAATAAATGCCCTTTTTAGAAAATGAACCATGGATGGGGAATTGTTGGCAGTTTTCTCAAAAAATGTTTGAATTCAAGAAGTTTTCGATTTGCTGTGATTTTTTTTTGAGTTTCAAAATCCACTTGAACATGACGCTGCTTTTTGCGAAGTTTCTCAAGAACCGTTCGAGTTACAGAATTCGTTTTGGCATCGTTGGATAGAGAATTGAAAAGTCGATTCAGACGTAACAACGTGGGTGAGGAAATTCGAGTAGTTTTGACACAGATATATATATAATAATATAATATTGTTCACCAAGAATCCGAGGCGCTGATCGTCTAGATAATTAATCAAAACTCTTTTCTATCATCATCAGCCCTTTTTAAATGGTGTAAGTTTACCTTTGGAATATTACAATTTGCAAAGCGTAAACAAACGCAATTTAGTACTTACATCAACTTTGTGTTCTTTGATTTTTCTCCATTGTATAGTGGCATTGGCACAGGCCACACTTTCAATCACAAAAGTTACGGTCAAAAAACTCACAAAGCATAGCACTATAAGGGCAATACTGCTAAACAACCAACCAGCATTTTGGAAAGCAGCTGGTAATGTAAGTGCACCAGTGCCAACGATTAAATTGAAAACATAGATCAAACCCACCTAAAGGATGTAAATAAACACAGAATGTTCATAAGTTCATAGGAAATTTTCACGTATAATACAAAACATACCCAGGAAGAATATTGATCCTCTTGTGGCATTATAATGATTGCGTGTGCTGATAATGTGCCTTGCAATTTCGGTAAATATCAGTTACTGTGAGCAAGTATGGTTTTTTCATAAATCACATAACTGCCAACTCAGGTAACTATAATAATATGCAATTTAAGTACATCTAGCACTTATCTATGTCTACCCCCCTAAACATTTTTAACTGTGTCAATGCCCCACACTAATAATACGCGTGAAGTTAGCTGTAGGTTTTTTAAGAATTTTCTGAACTGAGACCACTTGATGCCAATTTTAGCCAGGAGTTTAAATTGCAAATTTAACATAAACGATTTTTCCATACAAGATCCATACAATTTTATCAACAATCAACTTGGGGTTGAGGTTATTTAAATTTAAATTAAGAACACATTAGCGCAAATTAATGCAAGACGCCCTGCTGAGCAAACCATATCTTCCCCATTAGTTATCCATAATTAATTAATAAGTGGTTTTAAATTACAGGACGATTCAAAATTGGTTTAATTCCTCTGAGGTGGTTGCCCGGGGAATTAGTAGTAAAATTAGTTTCAACAAAAATTCCCACTAAAAACAGAGGTATACGCAAAAAACGAAATTATAAATTCCGCTTCGCATCTGCAAACAATTTTCTTAAAAATTTACATAGGTAGTGTGTTTTTCACTTTTATTTAATGCGAAATTCACTAAATAATGTCAGCCAATTATGAAAAATCACTGAAAATATTTTAATTTTTGTCAGCGCATCTCATCATCTCACGCGTCACTGCAAAAAGAACTAATGCGTTCCGAACTCTGTTCCGAGAAAACATTCGGATATCAATGCGCAAATATTGATGATTATGAGTAAATAGTATACCATTTACTGAGGTTCTGTGCTATCTAGAACCATAGAGTAATATAAATTATTTTACTTGCTCTAATGAATGAATAAAACCTATATTGTCCCTGGCTTTCACCAGTATGGTATTGATTGAAAATAAATGATTTGATTGAAAATAAAAACCGCAAAAAATTGCAAAATTTTCTCAAAATATTCTAAAAAATTATTATTATGCAAAGGAGTTATTTGAACTAAATCTGATAGAAAGCACAAAAACTTTCACGCAGTCTTGAATCAGAACGCCCAGCTCCGAACTGCGCATCGGAAGACGCATATGTTAATTATACAAAGTGTTATTTGATGATTTTGACATTTATCATGTGATTATTGTCATCATATTGGAATGGGTGGCAGAATTATAGTTTCCTAAAATTCTCGTCCTTGCTAAGTTTTGTCATTGTTTTATTTTCTGCATTTTAGTAACTTTAAAAAAATGAGGTACCAGCTGTTATACACTCTAAGTTACCTGACGTCTGCCGCTGTGGTTGTTTTACGTAAGTTTCTCAACTTCTGAAAACCTATTGTCGATTATTATTCAATCTCGTGATCAACAGTCATATGATTCCATTTATTTTTCAGCCCTTTACTACCTGTTAACGGGGAAAGGCGAGCAAATAAGTTTAGGCTGGTCAGTATAATTGGGTTTATCTGTTTTATTGGAATGTATCCTACAGAGGTAGTATTGTAATCTACTCCTCTTTCTGCAGGTTCTTTGAAAATGTGTCTCCTTACCTGTGGGCTTCCTTGGGTATTGGACTTGCTGTGGCACTATCTGTTGTAGGAGCTGCACTGTAAGTAACAAGCGTTTCTGGTGCCTCTTTTAAAACATTGGACAAATATCTAGGTGATTATCACCTACCTTTCGAGTCCTGCCAAAAGCAGTAAATTTTTCTTATTTCCAAAAATGATTCGTCCGCTTAAGCCACGAAAAATCCCTTTCATTTAGAATTTCGGACGCTACAATCTGTTCATTTGTTATTAAACATTCTTTAATGCGTTTGTTGTGCCGAGCCCTTCGGACACTGATTGGATGACAAAAACTCTGGAATCGCTAAATTTGTTTATGCAGCGTTTCAAACAATGACCTCACTGCCAAAAAGCCTCTAGATAATTACCAAACATTGGGTTAATTCTATTTGTAGGGAATCATTAATTAGATGATTATGAAGTCAATTTAATTATATTTAAGGACGTTCAACCGCAAATCTCTATTTCTTAGTAACTTGTTTTATGTAGGTATTAAAGCTATTATTCAATTTGTTATCAATCTTTCAAATCATACAAAAAATATCATTTGATTGAATTTAAATGATGCACTAGTTTCGGAAACGATTTTTCCTCTTGATCGTTTTTCTGTAGATCATTATCATTATATATCAAGTTTGGAACTTTATTTCATTACAGTTTGTCCTTATACAGCGTTTTATTATACTGTCTAATTTTTAAAAATGTCTTTTTATAGCGGAATTTATACAACGGGAGCGAGCATAGTAGGAGCTGGTGTAAAGGCACCTCGCATTAAAACGAAGAACTTGATTTCCATTATCTTCTGTGAAGCTGTGGCGATTTACGGTCTTATTACTGCTATTGTTCTGTCCAGTAGTTTTCAGGTATGTATTTCCCTATATGCTGCCGTTTTACTTAATGGACGGCCAAATTTAAGCAAGTTTTGCAATGTTTTATTTATAATGATCCGATAGCCTAATAACTTGCCAAATGGCCATTGAACTATGTTCAAATATTGTTGCATCTTCAAAAGAGTATTTTTTACATTATTCTCTTACTCAAATTGAATCCTTCTTTTGATATTTCAGCGTTATGACACCGTGGAACTAACGGAAGCAATAAAGGCCCGAAATTTCATGGGTTCTCATGTGATTTTTGGAGCAGGAACGATTGTGGGCTTTGTGAATCTTTTCTGTGGTCTTTGTGTGGGCGTGGTTGGATCGGGAGCAGCGATTGCTGATGCCGCAAACAAAACTCTTTTTGTGAAAATCTTGATTATTGAAATTTTCGGCAGTGCTATCGGACTTTTTGGTTTGATTGTCGGCGTATTTTTGGTAAGAAATACTTTCATCAAATATGTTATCTCAAAACTTAACGTTCATGCTAATGTGAAAATGTTAATGGTTAATTCGATCTTTGATAAGAAATGTTCGAAAATTGCTTGTAAGTACTGATAAATTGTGATTTTTCTAGACTTCTAAAGGCAGCATGGGAGCTTCTGCATAAGCACTATTCACTAAATCATCAGTACATGCAGACAGACAAACTTACAAGGATACGTGAAAAATAATGTAATTATACTTAAATAGTTGAATGGTCCCCTTTTCGCTAAAAACTTATGCAGCCTTTTATTGAGACATTCCAGTATTAGATAATCCTGAAATTCGTTGGCTTATTGTTTAGAAGTATGTTAATTGGAGCTGGCATAGCAAGCATTCGATTTCCAGTTATGCTGAATATTCGCGCAACTGTCCATAGTATGCTTTAATTTCACTTTTATCTGTTGATTTTCAAACAGACCACGTCAAATAATATTCTATTATTGTATATAAAATGTAGTTTGAAAGATATCTTAGTCGTAGGGTAGATACATACGTTCCAAACCGTGTTAAAAATATTTAACGAGAAATAAACAAATTAACGGAACAAAGTCCCTGTTTCATTTCACTGCTGAACCACTAATAAAAGAAAAGTGCACATTTTGCAGTAGATATTTGGAATATCATCATACGATCCCAAATGTTTTCAACATTATTTTATTTTATTGTCTATGGTTTTCCAGCTTGTTAATGGCTAGAGAAACCAGGTAACAAAGTTCGTTCGAGATATCACTAAACGTCGAAACGGCCCCTTAATAAATCATTCAGAGAAAATCACACGTTTTGAAATGTTTACAGCCGTGTTACAATAGAAAACATATTTGCTTAGTCTTGGCCCCATATACCTTACCTACTTTTACGTAAAAGTATATGCTTGGCCCTAGTGATAGATAAAGACAAATTCACAAAATATCCCCCCTAGGGGGTATGTTCTGTGGACAAATTGCCCCACGTTTCAGACTAATTAGTCCTGGTGCCAGAGGTTGAGATTTGTGTCTGGAAAATTCTGAAATACAATTGGGGACAATAAAATTTTATCTAGATGGGTTCTTAATCGCCTTCTAGGAATTATATAACCTTTCAACGAGTGCGATAAAGACGTAAATAAACTATACTGCAACGTTGCATGCTCAAACTATTGAATAAAAATATAAAAATTAATTATCAAATGTCTCAATCAGGTTATTATTTATTTCACATTAAATTTGTCGTTTTTATCTGCTTATACAGCCAAAAATCTCAATAAAAAGGCTCACGTGTCGCAAATGCAAATCGAAAAAGCTGGCAATCCTGTACAGGCGCATTAATGGTCAAAGACAAAAGGCAGGCCGGCAGGTAGCCAGGTCTACCGTTTTTAGGGTAGATCTCCCGTAAACCTACAAAAATCTACCGCTAAAACGCTTGGAATACTCTATATAAATGATGAAATTGTCAATAAAACTTTTTTTCGAAAATGTGAACTCATAATTTACTGCCTGAATAATCAAAAACAAAAATTTGGAGGAACTGAATACTATCTGCTGTTATGTTTATTCTACCGCTCTCGTACTTGTTGACCTGGCAACGCTGAAGGCCATTCGCAATGAATGGCTGGCGGTGGGGGTGCTGCATGAAGACCTGTGAAAAGAGAAAGTATGGTGGGGCTCTACTTTAGGGCTTTATAGGGTTTATGGGGTTTATTTACGTCAAGCTCCACCAAGGGCTAACATCGAAACTCTCACCCCAGTTGGAAGTTTTCAGTGGAACGAAGTTGAGAAGATAAAATATATTACTAAGGTAAGGCATTTACATCAGGATACGCACTTGAACAATATCGATTTGACACCTTGTTTTGCCAACAATTTCCATTGAATACCAGCTAATTTCAATAGAACCAGATAATTAATTTGACTGTTTTTAATTGCAGATTGAGATTGGTATTGCTGGCCCGCAAGCACAAGTTTTTTGTTAATAACTTTTGTAAGGTTATAACGTCAAAATGTGGTCAACAAACAATTCGGTGAACAACAAGGAAAACAAATCGAATCAACGCCTAGAGACATTGGGAATGACTTCACCAATATCTATGGCTTCTCCGAAACAGATTGACTTGGTACGAACCAAAGAGCTGGAAAGTGCCCTTAATAAGTTTGGTGTGTTTGAAAGTGCCCACGAGCTCAACCATAGGATGATGGTATTGGGCAAACTTTATTTTCTGGTTAAGGAATGGATTAAATCGGTCTCAATTAAGTGCAATCTTCCTGAAAGTGTAGCGGAAAGTGTTGGAGGCAAAGTGTGCACGTTTGGCAGTTATAGACTAGGGGTAAGTCACGTTGTCAACTTATTTATACGTTTTAATGGTATCTCGTTCATTCATCATCGCATTATTCATCTATGGAGTGGACATATTACAGTTTTATTTAAAAAAAACTAATTTTTCTGATAAATATCCAGTTTCAATCGTGTCGTTGGAGTCGCTCCGAATTTTTAGATTTTCTTTTTTTACCTTAAAGAACACTTCATATTAAGCAGTTTCAGCGAAAAAAGTCCTGAATGGTACATAATTTAAGCTAAAAACACTAGAAATTCGTTTTTCCAAAACCACTTATTTATGCACAAAAATGAGATTGTCCGGTGCTTTTTGCTGCTAAATCGTGTTTTAGGTATCAACAGTTCATAACTCCACATGCAAAATTGTCGCTAAGATGCATAATATTTGTGTTTTTCGCAAGTTTGAGCATGGTTCCTATCGTCGTCAATCGATTGAGGTTATCTATTGCGGAGTATTTGTCACTTTCGGAAATTCAACACATGCGGTGTTGCCACGTGTTTTTGCGTTGCTTTATTTTCGGTTAATTTTTAGTTAGTTTGTGTTAACATGGATGAAGTGATTTTTTAACGACACTAAAAAATATACAAAAAATTATTAATAACCTTGAAAGATATAAATAATGTAAATATTTTTTTTATATTTTTTTTCTTGACTGCGTGTAATTGTTATTATATTATTTTCGTTCCTGGGCTCGTCACAGTGTGAAACAAATTTTTTTTTTATATTGTTTATTTCGTTACGTTTCGGCGAGACAACAGCGCCATCATCAGATTTTAAAATTCATTCAAACTACAAACACCAATTTACATTTACGTTAAAATTTTCATTAGTTCTTGAGGAAAAATAAACTTTCCTTTCGGGAGAGCAAAAAATTTGAAAAACTGCACCCAAATTGAACGAATCCACTTGCTAGGGATCTAAGGAAATAATTTTAATTGTTTCAGGAATTGTTTACGCTGAAACTCCTTAATTTAATGTGTTCTTTTGATCACCTTTTTCGTTTTAGCAATAATCATTTTATTTAGTTTTATAGTATTTGAACGTACATTTACTAATATTTATTGCTGTTGTTCAGGTGCATAGTAGAGGTGCTGATATCGATGCTCTTTGTGTAGCTCCAAAACATGTTTCGAGAAATGAGTTTTTTGAATCATTTTATGAACTACTAAGACAACAATCTGAAGTAACTGAACTAAGGGTAAGTCTTATTGGAAAGTGAAAAATGTACTTAGGCAGCTAAAATTCGAATTTTTATTACAGGCTGTTGAAGAGGCATTTGTTCCGGTGATTAAAATGAATTTTGATGGTATAGAAATCGATATGCTGTTTGCCCGATTATTTCAAAAGGAAATTCCCGATTCAATGGATCTGCAAGATGATAACGTGTTAAAAAATCTTGACCAAAAGTGTGTGCGAAGCTTGAACGGGTGTAGAGTTACGGACGAAATTTTGCGATTGGTTCCAAATGTTGATACGTTTAGATTAACGTTGAGGGCCATTAAACTATGGGCAAAAAGTAAGAATGGTTGTAAAATCCTGTTAGAGAGCTATTTTATAACTTTAATTTTTTTGTTTCAGAACACGGGATTTACAGTAATGTTCTTGGATATTTGGGTGGTGTATCTTGGGCAATGCTTGTAGCGCGTACATGTCAGTTGTACCCTAGGGCTGCATCTGCAACATTGGTGCACAAGTTTTTCCTGATCTTTTCCAAATGGCAGTGGCCCCAACCTGTTCTGCTTAAACAACCGGCCAATGCTAGTTTAGGATTTGCTACGTGGGATCCGCGTGTGAACGTCACCGATCGTTATCATCTCATGCCCATCATAACGCCCGCTTATCCTCAACAAAATTCCACCTTTAATGTATCGCAATCCACGCGCTCAATCATGATGTCCGAATTTCAGATTGGTTTACAGATTACCGATGAAATTATGTTGGGCAAAACTCAATGGGACAAGCTATTTGACCCGCCACCGTTCTTCACAAAGTACAAACATTTTATTATATTGATTGTGACTTCATCGTCTGCCAAGGAACATTTGGAATGGACCGGTTTAGTCGAGAGCAAACTTCGATTTTTGATTGGTAATATATTTTGTTTTGTTTTACCGAAATTTCCGGGATTTTCAACTCACATTGACTCACAATAGTTGCATTTCTAAAAATTCTAAGGCTAATGTTTTTTCAATAACATTAGCAGTTGTTAATATTTTGGATTTTTACATTTAAACTGAATTGAAACTATTTTTCGTTTGTTGGGTGATCGACCTTCTAAATATGGGTTTTTTAATGTAGCAAAAAGGCTCACTTTCTAGGATTTTCAATGCGTTCAGATTTAACAATATACATATTTTACTTCTCAACGATGAAATGTGTTATAAAATTGTGTAATTTTTTTAGGAACTTTGGAGAGAAACGAATCGATAACGCTTGCTCACATAAATCCGGAAAGCTATTCGATGCCTGAATCACAAAAGGACCCCAAAACCCAATGCTCGATGTGGTTTATTGGACTGGAATTTCAAAAAATTAATGAGTTGAATTTGGACTTGACCCAAGACATTCAACAATTTACTGAGAACGTAAATAAACATGCACGCAACATTCACATGTATACCGAAACAATGCAATTAGAAGCCAGGCACGTTAGGAGGAAACAGGTATGTTTTTTTCTTCTGTTTAGAATATTGCAATACGATGGGAGTTTGTCAAATCATCCGCTCGGGAAACGCATGTAAAGGAATTTCTTTCTGCGTCGTTTCTATTTGTTCGCAACTATTTAAAAAAATCAGATCAAAATTGCCAATCAATTATTTGCGTTACACAGGGTGTTCGTAAAACATGTGGCATTTCAAAAAATGTTTTTTTAAATAGAGGAATCCACAAATAATTTTTTAGTATAGAACAACACAAAAAACTAGCAATATTTTTGTTCACTTAATGATGTAAAGTGTCTTTGAAACTCTTTTAGAAGCTGGGCAACTTGGCTATTCCTGTACATGAATGTGTTTCAATTGGTCTATCAAACTTAAGCAAGGGTTTGATGTATGCTGATTACTTAACTATTCGTGTTGTTTTAGTTGTCCCAGTACTTACCGCCTGGAGTAATAAGAAAAGAACGCCAGTTAAGTCTTACCACAGTTAAAAATGCATCTACTCCTGATTCACGAAAGAGGCGATCTACAGATCCCCCAGCCACTGAATCGGCGAACAAAAAATGTAAAATTTCATGCAGTGAAGTTAATTCGACGACTGTAAGTACTAGTACTTCCGTAACTGTAAACCATAAATGAAGGCTGAAGGAATGTTCTAATGTGTTCAATATGTGTTGTTAAATTTTCTAAAATTTTAAATCTCAACATACCATCAAAACATCTTTTAATTGAATCAATATTGGTAATGAATTATCTACTATACACCGTGAGTTTTTGTCGATGACTAGTTCAGGGATCTTGGAAGTTTCCAAGTTACAGCAGATGCACCGAACGTTAAATGGGCAAAGAATTGTAGTTTTGAATGCGCTACTCAAAGCCAATTTTATTTATCTAAAATTTGACAGCTGTCAGGAGATATATGAAAAAAACTGATTTACGGCAGATTTTTAAATGACTCCTAGTTACGTCAATATTAATCTGACAAGAAAACATTAAATAGAAACTTTGTAGAAAATGACATGAGATTTCTGTAAATTAACTGTCATTTTGGACAAATGACAAATTAAATCAAATATGGTTGCCATTCAAAAAATCTCAAGTTTGTGCCATTTGTCAAAAATGACAGTTAATTTGTAGAAATGTCTAATGCAATTTTCTACAACTTTTCTTTTCAATGTTTTCCTGTCAGATTAGTATTGACGGAACTAGGAGTCATTCAAAAATCTGAAATAAATCAGTTTTTTTCGCATATCTCTTCAGTTGTCAAATTTTAGAACAATAAAATTGGTTTCAAGTGGAGCATTCAAAATCACAAACAATTCTTCGTCCATTTAACCTTCGTTGCATCTGCTGTCGTTTCCAGGATCCCTGTACTAGTCATCGAAAAAAACCCACCCTGTATATATGTATTATATGCTGTGTATATTAAAAGGTTGAAGTAGTTTATCGTTACTGCAAAAATTGCAATTTTCAACAAACACTGTGCCCGTCACTTATTTTTAGTTTGATGAAAGTTCAAATACGTCATCTTTGGTGACTAATGATGACTCTAGTAACAGTTTTGAAACGTCACTGTCTAATACGATGACTTCAAGTACTGTTCAGGCAAGTGTCTAGATTTTTAAGTTTGTTAATTTTATTGGAGTACACTTTCAATAATAAATTTTTGACTTAGTCTGCTGAGAATGGGCCCACGAAAACTGTCTGTACATGAAAATGGTGGTGCTGCCCCCAAAGTGGGCCTGTTCTGCATGATGGTATCTTTTCTGCAGTGGTGATGAGATAGAAAAAAAAAGGAAAAAATGAAAAAAATGACGAGCTTGATCCGACCGAACTGGACAAGTATGTATAAAGTCGACCTCCACGAGTAAAAAAAGACTAAAATATTATCGTAATGATATTTTTTCCATTTTTATATGTAACGGTTTTGTTGTATTTTCGCAACCTTATTGTAAATATTCTCGCAATGAATATTTACAAGTGCATTGTGTGATTAATTGGGCGAATGTGCAGCAGTTTCAATGTAGAATTTTAGTTCCTAATTTAGTATCTATGGGAAATTATTCATTGTAATTTTATCGTTGCGATAGTATTTTACTCGTACATATATTTTTGGATTATTTTAGTAATTATAAACCCTTTAGATACGTTGAATGCAACTTTAGTTCACAATTTCTTTATACCCATGTAAATGTGCTAATAGATCTGATTTAACACAGGGGGAATATATGAGAAGTGCAATAATAATGCTACCATTATTGTATTCCCATGGAATTACCTCCTAAATATGAACCAGATTTTTGTTTGTAAGTGTACGTGTTGTCAAGTGTAAATTATAATTTTGTAATAAAAATAAATATTTTCCCCAAAGGTTTCGTTTTACTTCTCTAATGTTAAAGTAAGCAATACAGTGTTAAAGTAGGAATAATGTTTGGAGGTAAGAAACAGTTAAAATCCGGAGCAAAACAGTAATTTGAAGAAACATTATTGACAATATTTCGAAAACTACACGATTTTTAATACTAAGTGAGAAAATTTAGTCAAAATTTGGGGCTTTTTTTAATTTGAAAAAAAAGGACGTTTTTGTTCGGGTGAAAACTAACAAAAATCGACCACAGTGAGAAAATATTTAAAACTTGTAGCGTTTTTAGTCGACCCCCTACATTTAAAAACATTTCATTCGTCCTAAATTATGTTTTATTTTTAAAAATCGCGGCTGTTCTGTAGTAGTTGAATGCTGTTTGGTCAACTATCAATTAGCATTCAGGGCTTCGACGGTTTATCCAGGAAAATATCACAGATTTACCATCAGCAATTGGGGTTTTCCCATTAACAAACTTGCGCTTGATCGTAGTCAAAGCATTCATTGGGGAAATGTTAGATTAAACCGTTTTTTCGAGAAATAAGTTAGGCAAAAATCCCCATCCATCATTCATCCCTTTTGAGCAAATCTGCCCAGTTTTAGCTCTATCGATTGCAGCTACGCGATTGCGCTTAATTATCGCCCAGCTGCGTTCTGTAGCATATATGAATGGAAATGCAGCGTGAAAATTGAGCAGAACCATTGTTTTTAAGACTAGCCATGGAAGCTGATCAGCATCTCTGCCGGAACGTTTTAGCTTAGTTTTATAACGATGATAGTGTTGTATTTACTATGTGCTTGGAATATTTTTTGCTTTTCATTAGGTGAGCCGATGGGTGAATATCGTCGACAAAAAGTATCTAAAAAGCTCGCATTTCAGGTGATAAACTTATTATTAACTCGACGGCCCCCAAGAAAATTTCAGATGAAGACTACTACTTAAGCTATGATTATGATCCGAACTACAACATATCGAACGATAATAACGCAAAATCCGAATCACTGATAATACCGAATCCAGACACTATGGAACCTGAAAGTTACGCAGTGGATATACTTCCCCAAATTGAACTACCGGATGACTCTTTGGCTGATCCGGATTTAAAAGATCACAATTGCATCGATAATATAATGTACGTCTACTACGGCAGCAATGGAAAAAGCTCCAAAAGTTATGGCACCGGAATTATCATAATTGGTTCGGTGCTGAGTTGTGCCGCACAGTTGTTAACGCTATTTTGCGTGTTGCTCAACAAGAATTACACCGGCAGAAAGAGCAGCATGCTGGTGATAGTGTTGCATATTTTTGTGGCCTTGTTCCTGTCGAATCTTATTTTCATGTTAGGAGTCTATGTGAGTATCATTTTAAGCCACTTTCCAGCTTTATAAACTCCAGTAGTTCAATAAGTCCAAAAAATTAAGCAGTATTGTATATTTAAACCAGAGCAGCAGATGGTCTAAAGTCTGCAGCTATTCGTTCTTAATTTACTGCAGATTTTCGTATTATAATCATCTGTATTCAGCAAACTGCTTTAAAGCAAAGTCGCGTATTTTGCGTACTTTGAACGCTGCATTTTGCGCCATTTTTTATGATTCTGCGGTGAGTTCTGATAACTGTTTTCCATAACTTTATTCGATTGTTAGATTTATGGATCTTCGGAGTAAACTTTGATGATTTTTTAAATCGCCCGTTTTTTTTATGAAAAATCTCCGACCATCCAAAACCGAGTGAGTCAGTTGAGATTTATCGCAATATTACAATTGCGACCGCGCAAAYATTTTTTGGAAAAATCGACCCTTGTGAAATTTTCGACCGAAAATCAAAATTTCACAATCCTGTTTTTTGMCCTTATTGGATTGTTTCCGACCTAAGAAGCTGCCCAATATCGAATCTGAAGGATGTGGGTCGAAAATAAGGAAGATGTCGTCCGTTGAAGATTGCCACCGCGCAAAAACCGTTCAAAATAGGACAATTTTGGAGAATTTTTCAAATTTGGGACACAAACAATGAGCTCGGTGCAAAAATAATGCAATTTTCAATTATTCGTCAGCTCGCAATCCAAAGTAGCTAAAGACTTGAAATTGGCCACAAATAGAGATAAAATAGTCTGCGCTTCGAACCAGGAAAATTTCAGCTAAATTCACCTACAGGGCAAATTTCAGTACTTGTTTTAATAGAGTAATAGAGGTGGTGGCATCTTTAGGTCTGACTGAAAAAAAAGCAATTCTAAAAATTTATCGTTTTGAACTTCCCGGCTGAACAATTGGAGTTGGGCGCACTTTTAGCCAGAGAAGCCTTCACGTTTTGAACTTTTTTTCAAAAAAACTGCGGTTTTTTTTTTAACTAGGTTTCGTCATTCAACGATTTCTGTTCAATTTACCGTTTATCCTTGTCTATCTTATTGTCACTTTCTGTGTAATTCCATGGTTACCGGAGTTTTAAATAATTACGAAGCCACAGGTATTTACGTAATGTCAATTAGGCAGATTACCTTGAAAAACATTGTTGCCGTATTTCTGATATAGTTTTTTGCAAATTTCTCAGTATTTAATGCCAATAAAAATTTTTTACTATTTTTTCTGTACTCCTAAAACACCGCCAGACAACACCTCCAGAGGAATGACGCCAATCTTGAATCACCCTGTATGAATATCTGCCTGCTAAAACTTAGAAAAAGGCGACGCAAGCTATAGCACCTTTGTTTATTAATTATTAATGTTCCTAACTTGATTTTTTTCCAGTCAACAAAGAACCCAGATAATTGTTTTCTCACCGCCATTCTATTAAATATTTTACACCATCAGACATCAATATGGATATTTTTGTACAGCCTGTACATTTACGAAAGATTTTTTTTCTCCACCCCAATTACCGCCTTTTTCAAGAACATGAATTGGTGCACTCTGGTTACTTACCTGCTGCCACCACTGATAACTTTGGTAAGTCCACATTAAGCTTACTCAGTTTGAAGGTAAGTACCAATCTGTTTGATGCTCACATTAAATTAATTTATTAATGTTTTTTTACCCATTGAGAGTCTTCTTATTGAGACATTGTGCCTTTTCTGCTCTATTTCCATATACCTTCTTCTTCAAACCAATTTTTCCAAATATTTGTCTTTCACTCGCCGTTAGAAATTTCCTCAAAAACCTTCCCGTTCACCCAACTCTTTGGTCTGTCTCTTCAAAAACTGTTTTTCAAATGTATTTATTTTAAAAGTTTTCCTTCATATTCTTGATTTGATTCGTTCTTCCTCTCTCCTTCAATCTTCAAAATTTAAAACGGGATTTTACTCAGCAACAATTCCGGAAACGTCGCATTTCATTGCGCCTCCCGCACTAACTTGAACCAGCCGGTACAAAGCAAAATTGATAATAAATTCTTCCCAAATCAAGGAATTTTTTGCGAAGAACTTCCGCTTAAAGAACCCACAACATCAACAAAAAATGTGTTTTTAGACCACTTACTGCTGCGATCCGCAAAGTTTCGAGACCAAGAAATTTTGCTTCAAATCCTTTCGCCGTGGAACGCTTTTCAACTTTATGATCCCTGAATGTGGGCTACTTCTACTAAACACATTCTTTGCGATCAGAGCCATGATTAGAATCGTGAACCTACAAGTATCGCTATATCAGTACCAGAGCGATTCTTTGCAAGCCCTGAACAAAGAACTTGAAAACTTAAAGGTTTGTGCGACTTTAGGTGCAATGATTCTGATGTAAATGACGAAGCATTTTGCAGGAAAGGAAAGAGAAAAGCTTTAGCTATGTGAATCGGGAATTATCCAGCTTAGAGGCAACAAGGGTTTGTCTAAGGTCTCTTTGTGCCATGCATCTCATGTTCATATCGAACTGGTTTATTACGCTGGTGGCTTTGGAGGCAGTGGACAGTACGGAGTTGGCTTATCTACAAAGCATCACTTCAATGTTATTGGTAAGTTCAGAGCTTGAATGGTAGTGGCATCTAATGAGTCTTCGGCTTCCAGAACTGGTTCATGTTCTTTCGAAGGAAAACCCTGCTGCCGCTAATTAATTTTGCTAAGGACGAGAGTTGGGAACAACGAAAACTAAATGAAGATTATGCATCTTCAGCAACAGAAGTGATAAGTATCACTTCTTCTGACAATATTCCTCTGTTGAAATCCGACAGTGCTACAGAATTAAATGAGTTTTGTGGCATGGCGGAAGTCAAAGATTCTTCCAATGACTGTAACATTTGTACAATTACCACTTAAGAGATGATTTGAACTACTAAACCACATTAAGAACCGACTTCATGGTATCTTCATCATGAATACGAGATCTGCTCGGCAATAATAATTCATTAGTCAAATTCGTTTAAGAATAGTTTCCCGCATCTGTAAATACTAATCAAATTATATCGATGATCGTTTTAAAGCCAACTCGCGGTTATTTTAGCCAAAAGTTGAAATTTTCGCACTTATGTAAAAATATTTCTCTAAAAAAAGACAGAGCATTATAAAATAGATTGCATAAATTGTTCACTACTAAATTAAAATTAATTTTAGAGAATGTACTTGAAATTTCGAAAATTTTTACCTCTCTTAAAATAAATAGCTAATACTTAAACAGTTAATGATAAAATATAATTTGCGTGTTAGCAACTAAGGGAATGATTTAGATATTAAGCAGATAAGAAACTGTTCCTTCTTGACCTGTTAAACAGAGAAATTCTCTACATTACTTCATAACATAAATGTGTAAAAATTGAAATGTACATATTTTTAAACAATTTCTGTTGTGGGGATATTCGGCTAAATTTTCTATTCGGTGATGTTTTAATAAGAACCCTGTCTTCTTTACTTCCCTAAACGAGACAATAGATTCACAATTAGGAACAAAGAAAATTAATTTTGTACACCAGCAACGCACGGTAAAAAAAATAATCCGTATATACACACGACTACTTTTCGTGCCAATTTAAGCTCTGCAGCTTGAGCAGTGTTCCAAGATAAAACGGAAGAAAAGTAAAAGGTTCTATAGCGAATAGCCAAGAAATAAATACAAAATATAGCAGATTTAAAAACATTCCTAAAGGTTTTCTACTACTTAATATTTGTACTTTTAGAAAACACAGTCTTAAAACAAAAGATTATGTACATATTTAACAAAAAGAGACATCGGCCTACACCAGTATTAATATAAAAAAAATATGAGAAGTTTTTCATTGTTATTATAGCCAGAGTACTTTATTGAGCATGATGTACAGTTGCCCCTACGAGAATTAGCTCCTGTATTGATTCCTGATCGTTGAAATAAACGTTAATAATATTTGTATTTCGTTTTGATTGATTTGATAAGTATAAAAATGAATCAAATTGCCTACTTGAAATGCACAAAGGTTAAGGTAGGATAGAAGGCAAAAGCGTTAAAATAAACCAATATGGAACACAGTTCATTTATTAGAGAAGCGAATGTTTCTTTTTTACAATAAAAAAACTTTACTCCTTATACCATTCTTCGGAGAAGTTCGTTGATTTTGTCTTCTCTGTTTCCAAAGTCACCACCTTCAACATAGTGATTGGCCTTCTTGCGCCATCCTCCAGTTGGGGTATTTAGCTATAAAGAGAGTTTAAATAAGCAAGTGATTTCTTACAGTTCGGAAGTAATTTTTCTTGAAAAATGTGTACTGTGAAAAATGTGAAATAACACTGATGAAACCGAAAAAAATAACTAAGCGCTAACATGTGCACCAATATTAGATCCCCAGATATTTCATATAAAAAAGGGAAAAGTATTATTGGACACTTAATAATATTCCAATATTTTTCAACATACTATTTATGGATTTAAATAATATGTAGATCGAATTGGTTTAAAAAAGAGAGGATTTTCCCCTCGTTTCGTAACATTTTCCAGAGTTGTTCCATCAGAAACCTTGTTCCGAGTTGAAAAAAAACCTGACCATTTTAAGCAACAAATAAAATTACCTTAAACGGCCACAGGAAGTTTGATGCATATTTGAAGTTGGGTCCAACAGTAAATATTTCATGAATTAAATCAGGAACACAGATTAGGCCAGCTTTGCCCAATCGGTCTTCGACAATTTGATTGCTACTAATAGGAATCCGTTGGCCATTCACCTGCAAAGAAAGACAATTTATATATTAAAAACTCTACCGTCGGATACACATACAAAATATTGTAGCAATATTTAAAAAAAGTTACCTTGGCAAATCCTCTCTTGTAAATCAGTTCCCTAACTGACTTGAGGTTTGGGTAGCCCCAGGCAATGTAGGGTTCGCAAATTCTTAACATATTAATTGTAGCCTTGTTAAGTTTCACAAAAACGCCATTATTAATTTGCAGGAGCCTGAACAACTGAAGGACTTTTCGTACTTTGGGGGCAACTTTGTTGATTCTGTAATTAACAGACAATTTAGTCAGTTATTGGCCTCTAAATATTCCCATACAAAATCAAAGCAATTAACTAAGAATGAATAAGCATGTGAGTTTTCTTTACAATGTTCTAGATAATTTCACCTTCACTGGAACATGAACAAAAAACTGTTACTATTGGACGACATGGAAAGTGAAATAGTTATATTGAACAAATTCACCATAAAAACCGTCCGATGTTGTGTAAGTTAAGTTATAGAGAAGGCTTTAAGCTAAACGTACCCCTTGATTCTGATGACAAAAGCCAGCTTAGCATCGGCAGGAACATAAAAGTTCCCCTTGTTTTTGGATTGCCGAATAAGACGAATTTCATCGCGCTCTTTCAATCTGTACTCCTTTACGTACTGCTCAGCACGTTTGAAGATTTCTTTACGATTTTTAATTTGATCGGACTTTTTCTTGATGTCCGACTGTACTCGTTTAGCTCTTGAAGCTGCGCGCCTTTTTCGGTGTTTCAGAACTGATTCGGGAACTGTGGGCAGTCCCTTAACAGTTTTAATCTTCTTTTCAACTCTAAAAATTACAAATATTTAAAGTTGCACGTGCTACAAGTCTTCCAGGAAACTAAACATTGCATCGCTGTAAACACATAATTTAAATTAGGTTTTTTCGAAACAGTGAAAAAAATATATTTTTCACATTATACTACCGATATGTATTAATAATTTCTAATTGAATTCATGTGAAATAATTTTGCACAAACGAAGATGATTGAAAATTTAAATTTCTTGAAGAAACTTACGTTGGAGCCATTTTACACCGCAAATGTGAAAGAATGGAGTTTCACGTCAGATGAATGATCGATGAAGTAAATTTGACACTGTCAAATTGACAGAACTAAGACTGCGTTCAGATAGTCAGTGAATTTTTGCACACACCATTATGAAATGACCAAAATTTTAATAAGTGATAAAATTTATTAATTAAAGGAAATTACAACCGATTAAAAAATGAGCGCACTGTTGTAGAGTGGATTGCTTTTCTAAAATAGACGGAAATTTCTCTTCCTCTAGTGGTGTTAACAGTATAAGCATGATTTGCAGAATATTCTCGGAATCGTGAACTCTAATACCTTCCTTTATTATTAGTAATTTCTGAAATTCGATTTTATAAAAAAATAAAAAAAAGTGTCGAAAAAAGTTAACCTAACATATCTGACATTTTCAGGGTCATTTATTTGCAAAAATGGAATTAAATCAAGAATTAATTCGTTCAGTAAAAAAATAAAAGTTTCCAGCAAAAATACCAAAATAAGAAAACATTAACCACACAAGAACCTGTCAAGATTCTCGCATGCAAAACGCAAGGGGCTACCGCTAGTGGCGACAGTCCCGTTTTGGCTTCAAACGATCTAATTGGTCAACATTATGTCACTCGTCTTTATCTATGAAACCACAGTGTCAAACATGTTGTGAGGTTGTGTTACTATAAACTTTTGTGATTAAATTTTGTTAAATAAAACTTTATAACATGGGGCGCCGGTCTATCAATACCACTAAAAGTGGTAAATACATGAATCCCACGGATCAAGCAAGTAAGTTTTGGGCATAAAATGCAGCAAGTTTATTATTCAAACTACATATAATGACCAAATTATGGCTTCATAGGAAAAGAAGCACGGAAGCAGGAATTAAAGAAAAATAAGAAACAAAGACAGATGGTACGAGCAGCCGTACTTAAAGGAAAAGATCCGCAACAAATTCTCGAGGAAATGGAGAAAATCGACCAAATGGAATTCAATGTTAACCAGCCTTCACCTCTAAATGAAAAAGTTCTAAAAGACAAGCGAAAAAAGCTGCGAGACACTCTTGATCGTGTTTTGGGAATGTACTACAAAGACGACCAAGATAAGTGGTCGGACCTGAAAAAAAGGCAGTCTGAGTACGAAGCGAAAAAGTCCCAACTCGTATCATTTTATGAGTCAGTTAAAACTGCCCAGAGTGTTACGGTAGATGATATCCCATTGCCGCAATTACCCCAACAGAATTCCGCCAACGTCATCCCGTTACCCAACACGGAAAGGAAACCTGAAGTGGCCATTTACTCCATTGCAACAGCCTTAAAGTTGCAGGCCTTGGGTATGCCTGTAAGGTACAGTACAACTGTCTGAACAACTGGTAAAATCAGCTAATGTATTTAAACGATTTGATTAAGTATGAACTGTTCCGCTATAATTTACTTTATAAATTCTATTTATTTAGAGAACCACCTGGTTGTCCTCCTGGCCCACCTCCAAATATTAATGATGATGGAGAAGTTGATGAATACTTCTTCAAACACCCTTCAGAGGAACAAGCAGTGGAAGATAAATCGACCGAAGATTCTGATGGCATTATGCCGGGCAACCCGGCTGCGGTCAGCAAACCCACTTCTTTGCAACAGAAAATGGTGAGAATTTGCCTACATAGTATCTCGTAAAAATTAATCTTTTAATTCATTTTAATCTAGGTCGCATTGTCTGGGCAAAATGTCGATGAATTTATGAAAGAAATGGAGACCGTTCAAAAGAAATTGGATCAGCGCAAGGAACAAGATCAAACAAAATTAATAAATCAGATGGAACAACTCATGCCACCCGGTACTAATGAGACTATTCCATCTTTGCCGTCCATGCCGGCCACTAATTTACCACCATCTATTCCTCCGCCTCTTATTTTCTCTGGAACTGGAATCAGGTTGCCTCCTGGTAAGACACAATTAACAAGGTTTGAAAGAAATTACAGTTTCTCTTTTTGAAATTTAGGACCCCCACCGGGTAGGCCGCTAATGCCACCAGGGCCACCTCCTGGTTTACCGCCCATTAGAATATCTGCATCCGGACCGCGGTTGATTCGAATCCCCGTTCCTCCATTAGTTCCACAGCCTTTACCGCAACTTAAACCAAATGTTTTATCTGCTGCGCCTCAACTGATTAACAGGTTACTATGCTAATATTTCCATCTTCAGCTGAACCTATCAGGACATATAAAGAGGCATTTTTGCTCTTAATAACTAACATAATATACCATAATTTTTGTCAATCTGAGCGAGATGTAAAGCCATTTTTCTTGTAGGAATGATTCTAGTAAGCACGGTGCCACAATTTCTGCTAAGCCACAAATTCGAAACCTTAGCGCAGACGTTACACGATTTGTTCCATCCGCATTAAGGGTGAAAAGAGAGGAAAGGAAGAATAAACCAGTGACTAGCTTGGTTCGGGAACTGAAGCAAAAGGAAATGAACCTGAATAGCCAAATAGCGGCAGGCAAGCATACGAAAGACGACGCTTACAAACAATTCATGGAAGAGATGGAAGGTTTAATGTAATTAGCTTATTACATTTTAGCAACGTAATTGAATGTATATATAATTTGTAATAGAATGGAACTGTGAACGAAAAAAATCGAGATTGATTAAAAATTAAAACGGGTTTCTGTTCGTCGGAGTTCTGTTCGTCGGAAAATCTCTGTCTTTCTGTCGCTTCAGAAAATCCGCATCTGAACCACTTTCTACTCTACAAGTTTCACCTACCTTTAAGCTCTTTAATCTGGATTCTGGACAATTTTCACTTTTGAGGACCGCAAAAATTTAATTTATGGCAGAAAACATCAATGTTCACCTTTTCACTTCGGAAACGATTCAATATGTGTTCACAGCAGAACACCCTTATATTACATTTATTGTGTACATATGTTCAATAAAAAAGCGTTAACTGCGAAAAATTTGACAAATTAATCTTGAAAATCTGAATGAAAATAATCTTTAATTTGAAAAATAGATCGGTCCCTATAGAGAATACGAAAACCGTTTAATTAGGGTGTAATTAACAAAACATATATAACAACGCAAACTTTCTTACGCGACAGTAAAAAATATATAATAAATTATTAAAATTTCTTGACACTAAACTGAAGTATAAAACAACAAACGGTTGGTCGCTGTCCCCTTTTTTTAGATTTGGCGCATCGTTCTATCCTCTTTCCGCCACCGTCTGCCTCTGTCTCGCCTGCATTCTGACAGTGCCACACCCACAATATTTTTAAGAAGTATATTTATTTTAGAATATTTTCAAGTGAATACTTTTCCAAATAATACTTCAAATGACCAGCAAGATCGGCAAGATTGATTTTTTTGCAGAAATTGTGGGAAATAAATTTTTTTTACCCCTTTAACCATAACCCAAAAATGTGTGCGCATAACCTACTTTTGAGCTTTGTTTTGGTTTTACGGCAACCAATATTTTCATACTAGATATTTAAAAAAAAGACTGGTTTTATCGCATAAAAGTAAGATGTTAATAAACAAATTTACCGTCATTAAAGGACGCAAAGTCCTTTTGGTTCCATATAGAGAAGAACATGTTGTAAAGTGAGTGCTATTCAATGCGAATTCTGTAAATTTACCATTCGCTGTATTTTTTTATATTGCAAAAATTGCAATGGTTTTTATCGAGGACTTAGACGAGGATTAAGAATATGCTCACCTCATGACAAATCTTTGTACCGACAACTTTTCTTAGTTGTGTTTTTAGCGAAAATGAAGCTTTTGACCACTTTTCACAGAATAATTTTAAGAGCAAGTAGTCGAAAACTCATTTCCGCAGTAAAACACTAGCAAAAAAAGTTGTTGGTGAAGGAATTTGTCTAAGGCGAGTATATTATATCAATTATAAATTATAATTGAAATTTTATATTGTTTTAAAAGGTACCACAAGTGGATGAAGTCGGAGGAACTTCAACGTCTTACCGCATCTGAGCCGCTTACGCTAGAAGAAGAATACGAGATGCAGAAATCGTGGCAAAAGGATAATAACAGTAACTATTTATTTAAAATTTGATTGCTGTGAGTGTTGAATTTCTTTGTCACTATTAGAATGAAAGAAAAATAACTTTTGGGTTTTAAACCAGCTCGGTGAAAACGAAAAAAACGCCGCCTACCGACTGCACCAATCTAATTGATTATTGCAACAATTTTTTTTTAATGGCGATATTCATGGCAATCAAATATGACAAAATATAAGGATAATTGACCCTTAGAACTATCACTCCGTAGAGTAGATTCTCTATATACTTACATAAGTTAAAGAATGACCTTTTTCCATATATGCCAAGAAATTAATTAAATTACTCTCTAAGCACCATCGTCAAAGGTTTCTGCATAAAATTAGAACACTATTCAGTGAAATTAGCGTCACTTCATTTAGTTTCTTATTTTTTTTCTAGAATGCACCTTTATAATCCTTGATAAGGAGAGATACGAAATGTCCGGAAGCGAAATCGGTTAGTAAGAACTAAACCGATTTAAATCAGCAGCGGCTGGGATTAACAAAGATTTTCATTCAGATGCCATGATTGGCGACACAAATCTGTTCTTTGCAACACCGGAAGATCGCCTGTGTGCTGAAGCAGAGATTATGATAGCTGAGTCATGGGCGCGTGGACGAAGATGTGGCTGGGAGGGAATGCTGCTGATGATAGTTTACGCTGTAACTTACCTGGATGTTAAACAGTTTGTAGTTAAGATTTCATGCGACAATTTGCCGAGCATCAGCTTGTTTCAAAGTATAGGATTTATTGAAATGAATCGAAGTACCGTTTTCCAGGAAATCACATTCAGTAAACTGGTTGATGAATCTTGGATTGATTGGATACGCAACAGCTTGGGAAAGTTTGATATTGAGGATAGCAGTGCAAACTTTCCCTTAGATTAATTATATCATTTAGATTCACCATGAATTTAATGCTTATTCATTCAATAAATCATGCGGGGTAAACACAAGCTGACGACGTCGACTATGTACCTGCTAATTGGTTTTATTTTCCATGTGTAATTTACAGTTTAAATATAATGTTATTAATACACTTTGGCTAGTTTTTTCTTTAAATTCGACATGATGGCGTTTCGCTGAAATGCCACTTCTCGCTTGCAGAAGTACGAGAGGAACATTGGACACTGGTAGAAAACCGTTTCTTCACACGTAGCTCCACTGAACTGTTTCGGTTGGAAAAATTTAAATTCACTCTCGGAATCCACTGAAAAAAGATTAACAACTAAGCAAGTAGATTATTATTTTTTCACGAGCATCAACATATTTAATTTAAAATATTGGAAACCTATAATCTGGACTGAAATTTTGGGAACTTGAATTTCTTTTCACAATTTTCTGTTTTTAGCGGTAGATCGCTACAAAACTAGCCTATATATTAGGTTGATTTTGGGTTCATTCGGTAGAAGAGATTCTGTTTTATAAACCCGCACAATTTTATTATTGGCTGAAATAAAATCGATTGCTAGCAATGTTTTTAAATGTTCGGCACCAAATTTGCGTCTGTTATTCAACCGCGCTTGTTTATCTGTCTTTTCCGATTGGTTCCTCCAAAACAAGCCCCGATAGAAGAATGGTTTTGGGCCTTTCCGATAAAAGAGATTCTATTCTATGATCGCGAGCAATTTTGTTACTGGCGAAAATAGAATCGATTGTTGGCAATTTTTCAAATGTTCGGGACCAAATTTGCGACGGTTATTTAACCGCTTTTGTCGTCCTGTTTTCCTCGATCTGTTCCTGCAAGGCCAACAGACATAGAATATTGATTTTGGGCTCGTTGCATAGAAGAGATGATATTCTATAAACCCGGGTAATTTGTTTATTGGCGCAACTAAAAACGATTGTTGGCAATTTTTTTAAATGTTCGGCATCAAATTTGCGTCTGTTATTTAACGGCTCTTGTTTCCATGTCTTTCCCGATCGGTTTCCCCAAAACAAGCAGAGATAGAAAATTGGTTTTGGGCTTTTTGGATAGAAGAGATTCTATTATATAAACCCGGCAAAATTTGTTATTGGGACAAATAAAATCGACTGTTGGCAATTTTTCAAATGTTTGGGACCAAATTTGCGTCGGTTATTTAACCGCTTTTGTCGTCCTGTTTTTCTCGATCTGTTCCTGCAAGGCCAACAGACATAGAAGATTGATTTTGGGCTCGTTGCATAGAAGAGATTATATTCTATAAACCCGGGCAATTTGTTTATTGGCCCAACTAAAATCGATTGTTGGCAATTTTTTTAAATGTTCGGCATCAAATTTGCGTCTGACATTTAACGGCTCTTGTTTTCATGTCTTTCCCGATCGGTTTCCCCAAAACAAGCAGATATAGAAAATTGGTTTTGGGCTTTTCCGATAGAAGAGATTCCATTATATGAACTCGGCAAATTTTGTTATTGGGGCAAATAAAATCGACTGTTGGCAATTTTTCAAATGTTCGGGACCAAATTTGAGTCGGTTGTTTAACCGCTTTTGTCGTCCCGTTTTTCTCGATCTGTTCCTGCAAAACCAACAGACATAGAAGGTAGATTTTGGGCTCGTTAGATAGAAGAGATTCTATTCTATAAACCCCGGCAATTTGTTTATTGGCGAAACTAACATCGATTGTTGGCAATTTTCGGTACTATTTTCTAACTAATAAAGAGTTCAGACTCTCAAATTTTAGTAGCGTATTTTCGTAACACTAATTACAATGCGGAAATATACTTACAACAGTATAATCCCATGAACAGGCAAGTTCGATGATTGGAATGTATGAAATACACATCTTTCTCGTCATTGGTCCGAACTTGGAAGTGAGCGATTGCATGGTTGGATAAGTGTGGCCAATGGGAGAGGTTTTCTGAGTATTGCACGCTATATTTCCAATGATCGTACGTTCCACTTTCATCAGTTACAGTAAAATCTATGCTGGAATTTAATGGAAATCCATTATCGGCACTGATCTCGACACTGTTTTAGATGATTTAAATGTACTTACATGGTCGGGTTTAAAAATTTCATATTGCTAAAATCAGCAACGAATTCCCACGGTTCGTTCGGATGCACTTTCGGTAGAAACACAGACGCTTTATGCTCAACAGTACGTACCCGAATTGAAAGATAGGTGAAAACAAGTCCTAAAACGACGTATATAATTCTACGAGTTTTCCACTGCATCGTCTTCATTTATATTCAAGATAATAGCGTGCTTTGCAAAGCATCAAATAACACGAACAATTTTGCGTTTGCTGAAAAATTACAAGTAGAACCTACAGCAGCATCCGCTTACACACAGATGGATATAAAGTGTATTTTTAACTCGATGTTAAAGGAAACGGTTTATCTCGTCAGTCCAGTACTTCCATCACATAAACATGAGTTTGTGTTACAAATCGGCCACGAGGAATATCAATCAAATGGAGGATCGACGAGGGGTGAATGTTCTATGTTAAAGTTCCTTGAGAGACGAATGCGAGGTGCTGCTGATAATGTTCTTATACAGGGAACAGTATCAGGGTCTTTAGTGTGATCTCAGTATATGTTAATTTTAAAATATAATCGCAATTCCGATTATGAAAGCGTTGACCAACTAAACAACGCGACTCAATAGTCGCGTTTGTTTTTTATTTATTTTTATTAATAAAGAAACTAAACTAAACAAATTACACTATATTCTTATTTTTCCTGGGTCTCAGTCAAAGCATGAAGTAAAAGTTTTGAATATCGTTTATTTCATTACGATTCGGAGAGACAACGGCGCCATCATCAGATTTGAAATTTACGATATTCAAAATTTTTACTTCGCACTTTGACTCAAAATTTCCCGGGTTTATATAATAGAATCTCGTCTATCGGAAAAGCCCAAATTTGGAGCCGAACAGTATGAAAAATTGCCAACAATCGATTTTAGTTGCGCCAATAAACAAATTGCCCGGGCTTTTAGAATAGAATATCTTCTATCCAACGAGCCCAAAATCAACCTTCTATGTGTGTTGGTTTTGCAGGAACAGATCGAAAAAAACAGGACGACAAAAGCGGTTAAATAACCGACGCAAACTTGGTCCTGAACATTTGAAAAATTGCCAACCATCGATTTTAGTTGCGCCAATAACAAAATTTGCCAGGTTTATAGAATGGAATCTCTTCTATCGGAAAAGCCCAAAACCAATTTTCTATCTCTGCTAGTTTTGGAGAAACCGATCGGGAAAGACAGGAAACAAGAGCGGTTAAATAACAGACGCAAATTTGATGCCCAGCATTCAAAAGAATTGCCAATAATCGATTCCATTTTCGTCAGTAACAAAATTGCTCGTTATCATAGAATAGAATCTCTTCTATCGGAAAAACCCAAAGCCAATCTTCTATCTGGGCTCGTTTTAGAGGAACCGATCGCAGAAGACAGGAAAACAAGAGCGGTTAAATAACCGACGCAAATTTGGTCCCGAACATTTGAAAAATTGCCAAAAATCGATTTTATTTGCTCCAAAAACAAAATTTGCAGGGTTTATGTAATGGAATCTTTTCTATCGGAAAAGCCAAAAATCAATCTTCTATCTCTGCTAGTTTTGGAGAAATCGATCGGGAAAGACAGGAAAACAAGAGCGGTTAAATAACGGACGCAAATTTGGTCCCGAACATTTGAAAAATTGCCAACAGTCGATTTTATTTGCCACAATAACGAAATTTTCCGAGTTTATATAATAGGATCTGTTCTATCGGAAAAGCCCAAAACCAATCTTCTATCTCTGCTCGTTTTAGAGAAACCGATCGGGAAAGACAGGAAAACAAGAGCGGTTAAATAACTGAAGCAAATTTGGTGCCGAATATTTAAACAAATTGCCAACAATCGACTCTATTTTCGCCAGTAACAAAATTGCTCGTGATCATAGAATAGAATCTCTGCTATCGGAAAAACCCAAAACCAATCTTCTATCTGGGCTCGTTTTAGAGGAATCGATCGGAAAAGACAGGAAAACAAGTGCGGTTGAATAACAGACGTAAGACTGAGACCCAGGAAGGATAAGAATATAGTAACAATTGCACGCAGTCAGGAAAATAAATCAAAACAAATTACACTTTCAACTTTGATCCCCTGTTTGTTAATAACATGCTTATTATCTCCAATTCTTCCATTGTTAATGAATATTTGTGTACAAGAGGCGAAAAACATCATATTTACGAGAAGAAGTTTGAAAGACTTAAAAAATTCAAGTCAAATTAATTAGCTTAGCTGAAAGAAAGGTTTTAAAAGCTAAAAAGTATTCGGTAACGAAATTACTAAAGTTGTAAGATGACTGATGATGTTTTGATAAATGCGTGCGGTTAAAATTTATTCACCGTATATTTTTGTCTACGAAAAAGGTCGTTCAATTAACAGCTTGTTGCAGCTATTCTGATATGAATATGAATATGCATCCTTTGAAGAGTTTGCCTTCTAACATGGTTTCCTTAAGCCTCATTATTAGCATTAGAAACTGAATAATATTTTCCCGGGTTTGCGCTACTCCATAAGATTTTTTCCAATCACTTTCGTTCCTATTTGGAACGCATCTGCGAACTAACTAAAGCTTCTATAGATACGAAATTATTTTCTACTCGATTTTGGCATCGCCTGGCCAGACATTCTAAAACTGCTGTTTTTTCCAAACTTAAGCTTAGGATTTTCCTCATTTCAAGTGCGACCAATTTTGCTGACACTAAATTTTAGTGTGGTGACCGTCGAACGATCCTCTGCCTTCTAATTTTATTTTGGCTGATTTCTAAAAATACCGAACACAGCTTTGATTTAAAAATAAGCCCTGTAGAGTTAGTGCTGCTAACGAAATTTCGCTGCTGTGTGTGGAATAATTTTTAATGTAACAATTTTGCAAAAGTATGTACTTTTAGTTTAGTTTTATTGCCTGTTTTGCACTAACACCGTTTGAATGCTTCACGTGCTACTGTGGCCCCCTTTACATATGGCCAATTATTTCGATCCCCATAAAACATATTAGAGAACAACAGCGGTCTGCATAATTGAAATCGGCATGTTAGTTAATGCGGTGCCGTTATATAAAATTTGCTTTTTTCACTGCAACCGAAATCACTCATTTTATTTTACATCTTGTGTGTCGTTCATCTGATCACGAACAAAAACGTTTAATTTATGGCATCATACTGCAAGCATAATTTTTGGAAGGCGCAGGAAATCGGTTTTTTACGTGATTATTTTAAAATTGGATTTAGGATTTTTTCGGGTTCCTTGAATGCCTGAATAGTTTCATCTGCAGTTTTCAGTTTTTTGCTACTCACGCTTCAGTTTCATCAGTTTCATCATTCACTTCACTCAAGTTTCATCAGTCTTTATTATGATTTTCCGCAGGTTTCTCTTGAGAATAAGTGTACCTAAGTCACAGTACAGAATCACAAACTCAATTTTTTTATCATCATCACTATGGTCCAAAAGTGTTAATTAGCCATGGAAGAAGTTCTTATCAACGCGCTCCTTTAATAAGTTTTTATTGTTTGTTTTCTTAACGAAACTGCATGCATGTTACCAGATTTGAGTGAAAAACTCGCCAGATTTGATATGAGCACAACTTTTTCCTCAAACTATGAAACGGACGGGAAAAGTGTTGGTTGCAAAGCTGTGCCGAACCTTTCGGGCACGACACTGGTTGACACGCAGGAAACACTTTTTGCCCATAAATAGTGCAGACTTTTGTGCTCTTAACACTGTCGTACGCTCTAAATTTTTTATGAGGAACTTTGATGGCTAATCGGAAGCTTTTCCTTAAACTGCACAGCTTTTGCGTAAAAAAATCTATATTGAGTTTTTGAAAACCTCAACAGTTTGCGCGTACACTCAAATTTTTTATACATTTGCATGGCCAAATCGATCGACTTTTTCAGATAAACTCTAATACTTAAGATATTTTGAGGATCCACTCTACGCCCTAAAACAAATAGAAACTGTGGTATTCACTACGGTGCAAAAGTGATCCCTGGAGGAATTACGGATTTTTTTTTTGACTAAGATTTATTAATTTATTTATTTATTATTTAAGACTCTGCTAACCAAGCAATAAATGCAGACAGTCAAGTGTTCAAGCAACAAATAAAATCCATCTGGCTTCAAATATTGGCTTGTCCTAGTTCCGTGTGGTTGGCAACATCTTTACCGCAATGCCTGTTGATTCGAAAAATCGAAGACCGTGTTTATTTACATAACATATATCTGCAAAGGGAAACTTACAATTTGGGGCTTTTGCAGGATAACATAAACCCCCAAAATGGTGGCTGAGGCGGAAGGGGGATCCGAACAGGACGATGTTTCCTTTCTACGAACGGTAAGGATCCCTTAAAGTTCCATTACATTTTTTAAAATTATGCCTACAGTATTTGATCAAACTATTTATAAACTGAGCTTAGATTTTGTTAAGTAGTCGGTCTGATGATGCTTATTTGCAGGAAGACATGGTGTGTCTCTCTTGTACAGCCACAGGAGAACGTGTTTGCTTGGCTGCAGAAGGATTCGGCAATCGTCATTGTTTTTTGGAAAATATTGCGGACAAGGTATGGACAAACTGGCGTTAATCAGATAAATAAAATAATTTCAAACCGACATTAATCAAGAGCGAATTGGAATCGAAAATAGGGTATTTAATCAGATGTGCTTCTTCTAGATGAATTGACCCGCTTTAATCCTATTTTTTTGAAGATCGTGATCAAGAATTCGCTCTTAGGAAGGCACTCAAGCAATATTCGATTACTTATTAGTTTGATTGCTTCTTTTATCGTTTATCCACTCATTAGCTGCACTGATGATTTCGATCATCGTCTGTAAGAAAATTACTTTATTTAATGATTGAAGATCTAGTAATTTAAGGTTCGCATAATAAATCAGTTTCCGATCCACTGGGCGTTAAATTTTATAAATCCGTCTTTTGGAAAGGATGCGGTTTTCTTCGATAGAAAAATTTTTACTTACAATTCAAGAACGTAAGATCTATTTGTGGTAAATCACTGTTTTAACGGTTATTACGAAAAAACTCGTTTTCATGTTTTGAAGTCTTCTGTAAAAGACAGTTTGTGAAACTAATTACTTTCGGTTGTGCAGTGGTTTTTCTTAGTAAAACCTCATATTTGATCGATTTTTTAGAATATACCCCCCGACTTGTCTCAATGTGTCTGTGTTATTGAACAAGCTCTGTCGGTTCGGGCCTTGCAAGAGCTGGTAACAGCCGCTGGTAATGAAACCGTAAGTAATTTTCTAAAATATTTCTAATATATACTTTGATCTAACAGGAAATGTTGATAAACCCACTTAAAACAATGTTAGTTACCTTATAAAAGGTCATAATTATTATGAACTCAAATATACCTCCTTAAATAATATCACTGCTGTGTACATTTAACATACTTACAACACTATTTGTTTAAAGTTTAAACTTTTCCTGTGTTTATTCCACTCTACCTGTGTTTTCATGGCTTCATTTTTTTGCTTTTCAGGGCTCCGAGAATTTAGTAAGTAGTTTCTGGTCAAAATTTCGAACTAATAAATTTAATCAGTAATCTAACAATTTGGTGTATTATTGGAACATGATTGGCCGATTTGCTTTTGCTTTGATAATAATTGTTATCCTGGGAAAGTACTACTACACGTTCCTTTCTCAACGTAACGATCTTTGGCCACATATTAACCGTTTCAGGGTCGGCAGCTTGTATTCTGATTGGACAAATTAATGGAAACTTTATTATATGTAGTGAGTTTTTCAAATGTGAGAAGAAACAACTTCGAAAAATGTCTTTCAACCCATTCATAGGCAAAACGTAGAGACAAACAACAACAAACACATTTAAAGCTTGACATGTCGATTGAAAAACTCCTTAAATTAACAAAGCGCACAAAAATATAAACATTGCTTCAGAACAGTGCGAGATTGACTTTCATCCAAAAATCTGCAAAATCATTCTGGTCTCTGCAACATTCATCCAATTGATAAAAAGCCTGCCACATAAGCTGCTAAATGAAATTTTATGCTTGAAACATCACATAATTGAACATTTTGTCGCTTAAAAATTTTTTAAACCAACATATCAGCATATTTTGAAATAATATCGATATTTGGCAACATCAGAATCTTACATTTAATCTCGGTTTTGTTCCTACACCTACAGGATGTTACTTATATGTGTTTTTATCTTGTGTCGCAATTTTTAGCTAGAAAATAATTTTATCCGTCATTTTTACGTAAAAAAACGTATTTTTCTCTCTCGTCTTACACCAGCTGCTACTCGACGATTTCTCTTTCTCCACTCTAAGAAACATGCACTTTCTGCACTGTAACTTCTGCGTGAGGTTTAAAGGAAGACAATGAGGCAAATAAATTCATAAAAATTATTTTTTTTTGCAGAAGCGTAATAAATCTTACATCGTTTCTTCACTGAAGCTTCATTTACTGACTTGTGATGTCGGCAAGTTATTATCTGATCTACATACTGAGGAAGGGATATTGTTATCCTTATGGTAAGACGGAGCAAAAATTGCCAAATCTCGAAAATATTTCAAATGTTCTCAAACTCATAAAAAATAATTCACTCTCCAAAAGCGCATGAAATTCACAATATGCCTTCTTGTAACCTTCGCTCATTAAACGGTAAAGCCTGCATCCAAATATCTGGGCTAAATATTGAGTAGGAGCCATAAGGGTCGATGGTACAAGAATGGCCAAATCGTGAAAATATTTCGAGCGTTTCTAAATTTATAAACAGAAACTCACACGACAAAACCCGCATAAAGTTTACTGTGTACCTTCACGTAAATTTAGCCAATTTACCGGTCCACAATCCAATATATGGGCTAGATATTGAGAAAAAAGCAATAAGGAAAGATCACAAGAATTCTTAAATGTTCATACATTCACAAAAAACAACTCTCTTTCCCAAATAACATGAAATTCACAAAATATCTTCAATGAAGCACTGCTGATTGACTCGTGAAGCCAGCGTCCAAACAGCTGGTCTATATATTTAGGAGGAGCGATAATGCAGGATGGAGATGCAAGAATGGCCAAATCGTGAAGATATTTCGAAGTTTCTAAATTCATAAAAAATAATTCACCAGAGGAACTCGGATGACATTCACAACGTATCTTCCCGTAAGCTTTCCTCGTTAACCGGTGAAGTCCCCATCCCAATATGTGATGTAGATATTGTGGAAGAAGCAATAAAGGAAGATGATGCAAGAATGAAAAAATCGCAAAAATATTTCAAATGATTCCTAACTTCACAAAAAATAGCTCACTAGCCCAAACAGCATTTAGACCATAAAATGGCTTCAATGAAGTTTTGCTCAATGACTGGTGAAGCCCGCATCCCCATATCTTGGCTAGACCAATGTCTAGCATTGGAAGAAGGAGCCATAAGAGAAGACTTTGGAAGAATGTTCAAATCGGGAGAATCTTTCAAACGTTCCTCTTCAAATTCATCAAAAATAAACCACTCAAATGCTGAAACTACATGAAATTCACAACATAAGCTCATTAACCGTTGAGGTTCGCATCGCAACATCAATCAGGTTTAAATGTTGAACATTTAAATAAATTAGCGATGTCGATTGTGTCAATTTTCCAGGTCTTTTCACTCAAAAAACTCACTATGTATGGTTGAATCCAAAATGCTGATTTTATTTCAGCAGTTGCTTGATCTTAAGTTTAATCATGATGCGAGTGCCGGCTTTTAACGTCCAATTCCTTCTTTCTCTTGTTGGTAAATTAGTTTACAATGTTGTAGTTAATGTTGTACTATTATGGCCTTTTATAACATTATTTAATGCCGTAGAACTGCGATTCTAACATTGTCCAGAGACTGTCGATATAGTTCTTCGAACATAACACACGTAAATGCGCATTTTGGCTTTTTTGTTTAGTAGGCATTGATTGAGTTGATAAATCTTTGTTGAGCAACAATACCGGCATTAACTTGTCGTTGTAGAAAGTTTCGGTTTTCGGTATGTATTGGTGTTAAGTTGCACTCAAAATCTAGTTTCACACATTTTTACAATACCTGGTGGCAACTGTATGTGATTGGGGTTAGTTGGGGCGTTTTCTAATCAGCGATGATTTTCACTTATAGGGAAAAGGAACGGGATCAGGACATCGCACTTTGTTGTACGGAAATGCTATTCTGTTGCGGCATCAAAACAGTGACATGGTAAGAGTCTCTTTGGCTAGAGAATGGCTTTAAAGGCTGATTCTATTTTGTGACTATTGTTTTAGTATCTAGCGTGTTTATCTACGAGCTCAAGTAACGACAAATTGGCTTTTGATGTCGGTTTACAAGAACATAGTCAAGGAGAAGCCTGCTGGTGGACAGTTCATCCCGCAAGCAAGCAAAGGTATGTGAATATGTATATTTCAACTCACTTGGGAAGTTTTAGTTTAATGCTTTTGAAGAAAATGTTGGTGTTCTAAGGTTATAAATAAGAGAAGATTCTTATCACCAACAGCAGTTAAAAATATCTTTGCTCGGTAACTTCAGTATCGGCATATTTCTTTGGAAAACTTGGTTTTTGCACAGTTAAAACTTAGCAGTTCAATATGAAATAGAATCGATATCAACTGCAATTTTTTGATAAAATGTTCAATAGGTTTAATTCTTTTTATTAAATACGAATTAATATGTTAACTTTATTATTGCAGATCTGAAGGTGAAAAAGTAAGAGTGGGTGACGACTTGATTTTGGTTTCGGTTGCCACCGAACGATATTTGGTAAGCCCCATCAAATAGCAGCCAAATTGAATTTGGACTGTGAATATTTCCGCAGTCACTGATCCGATTTGAATATTTTTATCGAATTACGGCTCTATTTTTGGACAAAATTTTACTTGTAAAATAATATATTGTAATCTTTAATCGTCTGTTTAGAGACATTAACTTTTTATGTACGTGCTTGCACTTTTTGATTTGGGAAGAAAATTTCTGGAGAAAAGACTGTGCAAACAAGAAAACATTTTTCACTGATGTTACAACGCAACTTTTGTACCAGAATGGACCAAAAACTTGGACTAAGTTTAAGCCCTAAGTCCAGTATAAAACATATAATAAAACTAGTGCCTGTTTCCAGCATACAACTAAAGAAAACGAGCAGTCCATAGTGAATGCCAGCTTTCATGTGACGCATTGGTCAGTGCAGCCCTATGGAACGGGTATTTCCCGTATGAAATATGTAGGATATGTTTTTGGTGGAGACGTTTTGCGATTTTTCCATGGAGGCGACGAATGTCTCACTATACCGTCCTCGTGGAGCACTGAAGAAGCACATAAGTAAGACCAGTTTGCATTACGAATTTAATCGTCCAAGAAATAAAATAATGGTAGTTGCTTTGATTTCCACTTACACTCCAATGTAAGCATGCCTAAACAACAACAAATCCTTCAGTACAATAATAAAAAAATAATGCGCTCCGCATTGTTTTTAGTATAGTGATCTATGAGGGCGGAAGTGTGATGTCTCAAGCCCGATCTTTGTGGCGATTGGAACTAGCCAGAACAAAATGGGCAGGAGGTTTCATCAACTGGAGTCATCCAATGAGAATAAGGCATATTACTACTGGACGATACCTTGCTGTGAATGAGAGTAACGAATTGTACCTAGTCAGCAGGTGAGAAATTGCGACACATTTATGCAGGCTGTTCCATCAAAAAACTATAAGATTTTAAGACACAATTTTCATGAAGGGCCGCTATTAATGCCAATATCACAAAAAAAAATTCAAATTTATACTCCAGTTAGCCGTACTCTTCCACTCCCTTTTAGTTCCACTCCACTGCGTACTGGGACTTATTGTTTATTAAAATAAATCAAACTATCAACATTCTGTCAATGAATTTTAATCAGGAAAACTAATGAAAGTTCATTGCATACTATACATATGTGTTCATGGTTACAAAAGTTCAAAGACTGTAAACTTGAGCGAAAAAGTGGAAAAATCGGCAGCGGCAAAACATGCCCTGAGTGAAGGAACAACACAAAGAGGCAAAACAAACCACTTCAATCCACACAAATTTCTAGACCACAAGCATTTCTAGATCACAAAAATCACAACCCAAATCTAGGAATACGACAAACATTGGCAAAAATTTATGAAAGAGATGCAAGATGATTTTTCGGAGCGCAGAAAAAAGTGTGGAAAATGATACAAAATCAAAAGCGAGACATAAACAAGTTTTTAAGATAGAAATTCGCCAACTATAAGATCGAACAGAATATTTTACCAACTTTTGTTGAAGCTCCAACGAAGAGCAAACATTAGAAATTGGTCACAGTTAATAAAATAACCACAGAACAAATTCAAATTCGCATCAGAAATACAAATAGAGATAACAAAATGTTGAAATATAGTGAAGATCAGCTTCTGGAGCACGAAACCCTCCAACAAAACATTAAAAAAAAAAAAAAAAGATGGAAAAATCCCGGACAACTATTGCGGTATTACTTGATTGAGAATAATTCGAAAAATGTTTACCTCAATTTTGAGGCACTCTGAAGTACAAGTTGTGCAATTTATGTTCTGAATAACACATGATTGAAATGCCCGCCAATGGACCCAATTTTCCATGATTTTCCCAATTATATACTGTAATTTCAGCAATATTTAACTTCTTTGCGTCAATTTTCCGATATTTGTTCGCATAGAACAACTCCAGGGGAGTTAAATCACAACTGCTTGGAGGTCAATTTCCGGAGATTATTGATTCTCCGAATTTTTCTTGCTTCCAACGTGTGGGCTTCTTTCTTCTCACCATTCTCAGTAACCAAAACAACAGTTTTTTTGCAAAAATATGCTCCAATGATCTCTTCACTCTATAACCAACTGCACTAAACAGCAACTTTTTTTGGATGAATCTCTTGTAGATTCTTTTCCCATCAGAATCAACATTTTTTTCACAAAACTATTCAGCCAAAACAGTGCTTCATGCATTCGTGCCGAAAATATGATTTTTTTTCAAATTCTGGGTTAGTTTAAATCTGATCTGAATCCAAACTTGCCAAAAAACTACGCTTTTGATGGTCAAATGGCGTTAGTTCGTTTTTGGGAGCCAATAGAGTTTGGAAAGCGAGAAAGTGAACGAAAAAAGACCTCTGGGGTTGCGAATAACAAACGAGTAGAAGGAAGAGAAAAATATTATAATTCTATGAAAATATTATCTGGCTTTCCCATAAATCTTGATATTCATTAGAAAAATGTATACTTTCGGTTGCTTCTGTCCACTTAACGCGCTTAAGACAACAGGCATCCCCATAATTTAATGAAGAAAAAATGATTCGCTTGCGCGCCAAAAGACCATTCCTGTTACATCAAAAAATTTAATGTTTTGTTGTTTTGCATTGCAATAGAGATGTTTAATCAACAACAGTAATAATTATCTGATTTAGAATAGAGTACACATACCATTAATAATTGGAATAAAAACAGAAATAGTAACGTTGAGTAACAAAAAATTACTTTTTTAAGAGGTGTTAGGGTGTAAAGAGAATGGATACGGAGACAGAACATTTTAACTTTACACTGTTGAATTTTTTTAAAGGGAAGAAGCTACAACAGCATTGACGGCTTTTTGCCTCAGACATGAAAAAGACGATCAGAAAGTGGTACTAGAAGACAAAGACTTAGAGGTAATCGGTTCGGCCATAATTAAGTATGGTGACTCGACCGTCATCGTGCAGCATTCTGAGTCTGGACTGTGGTTGTCTTACAAGGTATAAACGTTAAACTACTGAATAATTATACATCGGCTTAAGAACTTTGGCAAAATTACACCGCAACACATATACATAAAATGTTGAACTTAGGCATATGAGACGAAGAAAAAAGGGGTGGGCAAAGTCGAAGAAAAGCAAGCAGTTCTCCATGAGGAGGGCAAAATGGACGACGGTTTAGACTTCAGCAGAAGTCAAGAGGAGGAATCGAGAACAGCTAGAGTGATTCGGAAGTGCAGTTCTCTATTTACTCAGTTTATTAATGGGCTGGAAAGTTTGCAAGTCAATAGACGACACTCGATGTTTTTCCAAGTAAGCCAGCAGTCATTGCTGTGTTATAATCTGTATAAAACCAAAAATGATTGCTTCTCAGGTGGTTCATTTAAACGAAATGGTAATGTGCTTAGAAGACTTGATTAATTATTTCGCGCAACCTGAAGACGACATGGAGCACGAAGAAAAGCAGAATCGGCTGCGGGCCCTGCGAAACAGACAAGATTTGTTCCAGGAAGAAGGCATTTTGAACCTTATCCTAGAGGCAATTGATAAAATTAACGTTATCACGTCTCAGGGGTTTCTTGCAGCTTTAGCGGGCGACCAAAGCTGGGAAATGATATCCGGGTATCTCTATCAGCTTTTAGCAGCCATAATTAAGGGAAACCACACGAATTGTGCCCAATTCGCGAATTCCAATCGGTTGAATTGGCTGTTTTCCAGGTAAGCATCGCGCTTGATCTATAAAAAAAGTCAATAAAATTGGAAAATTGTTAGGCTGGGCTCTCAAGCTTCGAGCGAAGGAACCGGAATGCTTGACGTGCTCCACTGCGTTCTGATCGATTCACCAGAGGCTCTTAATATGATGCGAGACGAACACATTAAAGTCATCATTTCCCTTCTGGAAAAACATGGTCGCGATCCAAAAGTCCTGGATGTGTTGTGTTCCCTCTGCGTCGGTAACGGTGTAGCTGTTCGAAGCTCACAGAACAATATCTGCGATTATTTGCTACCCGGCAAAAACCTGCTTCTTCAAACTCAATTGGTCGATCATGTGGCCAGCGTTAGACCCAACATTTTCGTGGGCAGAGTGGAGGGCAGTGCAATTTACCAAAAGTGGTACTTCGAAGTCACGGTGGATCATTTGGAGCAAACCACTCACATGATGCCGCATCTGCGAATTGGCTGGGCGAATTCTAAGGGCTACATTCCCTATCCGGGCGGTGGTGAAAAATGGGGCGGAAATGGTGTTGGAGACGATCTGTACTCGTTTGGGTTTGATGGGGCTTTTCTGTGGACTGGAGGACGATGCACCCAAGTTGTGGGCAATGTTGTGGAACCGTATATTAGGAAAAGTAAGTAAATGTTTTGCTTCCCGAT